AATTGAATGGCTAAGCTGCTTTCTTCCACAGTACTACAAAATGCTATCGTTTTGCGAGACAACCCTTTGAATTCCATATATTTTGAATTTTAACGTGCGTAGTGGAGTATATTTTCCCTACTGAAAAGTCGATAGAAGACGATTAATTGTATTGTTATGGAATTTGAGAGGGGTGTCAAGACCTGAAATGAGTTTAGCTCATTTATAAGCAAATTTGTAGGCTTTTTCCTTCAAAAAGTACAGTTTTGACATTTGACTACTTGAAACAATTACAGCAGTTAATATGATAACTGGTTGAAGTACAATATTTGTGTTAAAACAAGTTAATTTGGTCAATGAAAGAAGGGCCTTTTCTAGATAGCTGATCTGACAAATTGAAATAAGCCATAAAATTGTTACAATTAACAGACCTTAAGCATATGGTAGTGTGAGTTTAGTCACTTTCACTCAATTAAAACTTGAGGTGTAATACATTTTTTATAATTTTGTGAATGATTTAAAAGATTTTTTTAAACATACGTTTTTTACAGAGAAGATATAGGACATATAGGCCTAAATGATCAAGTGGTTGTATCCATTTCTAATTTGGAAAACTATGTATATTTATATGACAAAATGAAATTATTTTATCTGAATGGAAAATACTTAAGCAAAATTATATTGCATATTATCACTTATCACTACCACTGAGGGTGGTGTGGTATTTCTGTGGCTAAGGATCTGTGGCTGGAAGGTTGCTGGTTCATACCCCACAGCTGGCAGAGGAATCCTACTCTGTTGGGCTCCTGAGCAAGGCCCTTAACCCCAACTGCTCCAGGGGTGCGCATAAATGGCTGACCCTGCGCTCTGACCCCAAGCTTCTCTCCCTGTCTGTGTGTCTCATGGAGAGCAAGTTGGGGTGTGTGAAAAAACAAATTCCTAATACAAGAAATTATATATGGCCAATAAAGTGATCTGATCTTTCTCTTTCTTTTGGTCTTAACTCGTATGTTTGTTATTCGGAAATACCAACATTTCTGTTGTTGATGTTGTATGTGTGTGTGGTAGGCCAACAACCTACCACACACTGTCAATGAGTACTGTCATGTTGTACCATTGTGTCTAAGAAATTGGGCTGTTATGCCAGCACTGTTGGAAATAATATTGATTGCTTTGTAGTACCCTTTGTTTAGTTGTATTTCACTCTTTCCTAAAGCCCTTTATTAGGTTAACATTTTTGTATACTTTGGAATTCCACACACAAATATTGTTGATGCAAAACATTTTGCTGATATTTCGCATTTTCTCTACATGGATTTTTTGATTATCTTGATTAACGTTACTACTCTTAAATCTGCTATTTCTTACTATGTTTGAATATGGGAAAAATACCTTTGCTCTATTTACAGTGCAGATAAGCTGATTTGATCTAATTCTTCTGCAGTGCTTTAAGGTATTTGTGAAATCAATACAGTCACCACTATCTTGACTCCCAACTATTGAGCTGCTGCTTTCCCTCTTTATCCAGCAGTCAGCCCCTTTTCGGTCTCTCCTTTTATCAAAGACTGGCTGTAGTTCTGAAAAAATAGCAGGACTGGATGATCACTGATCCTTTTTAGGGTCATCTGAACATTAGAAGTCACTGTCATTCATACCAAACGTCAGAGAGTTGACAGTTGAGTATGAGGATTTGTACTGTTTATTCAAATATTAGCT